TTTGTTTAAGCAATTAGACCAACAATAGTTGCGTTTACGTTATTCAGTTTAATTCTGCTGAACAAGATTATCTAAAATTATCTAAATTACAAATTATCTAAAATTACCTAACAATTTTACTATTTATGTACTTTTTTTCAAATGTCACTTGAGTCTGTCATCTGTAATCAGATTGTACAGCAGTAGCTCATTGTTCTGTCAAAGTGCAGGTAACATTTTTGTTTTTCATCAAAGAATATGTCAAATTTACAATAAGCATCAAAATGTTGCTTTTTTTGACCTTATATCTGTATGTGCATCTCTGCTGATTATTTTAAATTTGTAAAAATACTGTCAACCAAAATATAAGGTCTAATTTTATATATTTATGGAATACGTATTGTTCATATTATATATTAAAAAGTATCCCGGCTAAATTCTAATGCTGTTAGTGAGACAGTAAAAACTCTCTTCCTTTTAAAAGCTTAAAAGTTTAACCACCTCTTACATATATTTTGTTATAATTATTTTGAAAAATAAAGAAAAATATAAGCCAAATCTTAAATACTGAATATATTTATTTACAAGTGTAAGCAACATCTGGAACTTTATTGTTGCTTGAAATAAACATATTCTTCGCATTCTGTAATTATGTGTTTGAAAAAGAAGCAGGTTATAGCGACTTAACCACTTGCTCACAATGCTTCGCTCGCTTTCATATGTACAGTTGCAAACAATTTCAATAAAAAATACGAAAAAATTTTAAATTAAAAGCGACAATTGTTAAATTTCTTATTTTTAAATACTTATCTACCTTTGCAACCACTGTTTTTTCTTCTAGCTTTTTAGCAATTACGGAAATCGCCAACTGTACCGTGCTGAATAATACTATAGAAACAGCTGCTTCCAGTTGTGGTTCGTTGCATTAAAAATGTCAGAACTTGAGGAAATTGAATCTCGTGTACTGAATAAATCAAAAAAAATTGCATCAATCGTTGATCCCGAAGAGTGGAATCTTCCAAACTGTTCAGCTACAGAAACTTATTTTGAACAACCGCCAGCTAC